CTTGGACTTGCTGGACGAACTGGCGGCGGACTGCCCTACGCTCCGCTTCGTGCCCAGCGGGGCGCGGGCCGCGGCGGCGCAGGCCACGGAGGCCCTCTGCAAGGCGGTCCTCCGCGCGCCGCGCAGGAGTTTGGCGGAGGAGCGCGCCTGGAAGCTACTGCTGCTCCGCGAGAGGCTCCTCTTCTCGGCACCGCTCAAACGTGGCACGGGCGGGAGGCGCCAAGCTGGGAACGAGCCTGCCTTGCGAGCAGGGCTGATCCGCCAAAGGTGCTCGCTGCTCCACAGAGGCGCTTGGGGGGACTTACTGGAGGAGGCGCGACAGACCGCTCGGAGCTTGGCGCGCGCGCGCCAGGAGGCAAGCAGAGAGCAAAAAGACGCCGACGGACACCTAGCCGACGCGGTGGTCCGGAAAGCGCTGGCCGAGGAGTACTCCCGAGCGGCCGCGCTCTTGGCAAGCCCGGGACTCGCGCCTCCTACGCCAGAGACGGCTGCCGCGCTCCAAGAGCTACTCGAGCCGCGAGGGGCGCCGGCCCTCGAGCCCAGGGCGCGCGGAGAGCTGGCCGCTGCCTCGCCCCTCTCCCACCAGGAGCTACGCAGGGCGCTCCGGAGAAGCCCGAAGGGGAGCGGGGCGGCGGTAGGGGGTGGCCGTTTCGAGCACTGGCGGGTGCTGCTGGCGGAGCCGGCAGCCCTCGAAGCTTTCTGCAACCTCTGCGACCGGTTGGCCACCGGGGACCTCCCAGCGAGCGCCGCGGACGCCCTCGCTCTCTCCCGAGTGACGCCGCTCAACAAGCCAGGCGGCGGGGTGCGCCCAATCGCCGCGCCCAACATCCTCCGCCGGCTGGTGGGGAGGGCGCTGGTGACGCCGCGAAAGGAAGAACTCGCGGCCGCGCTCGGCCGGCGCCAATTTGCAATTGGCACCAAGGCAGGCGCCGAGCTGCTGGCGCACGCGGCGCGGGCGCTCACCGAGGCCAACCCCGACCTGGTCCTGGTGGCGCTAGACCAGAAGAACGCCTACGGGACCGCGCGCAGAGAGGCCTGCCTGGCCGAGCTGGAGGAGGCGGCGCCAGAGCTCCTCCCTTTTGCGAACCTCTTCTGCCGGCGCCGCTCCCAGTACTACTTCTGGGACTCGGGGGGGGACTGCCACCGCCTGGGCTCTGCGGACGGCGTAGACCAGGGGGGCCCGCTGGCGCCCCTCCTCTTCGCCTGCGGCCTCCGCTGCCCTTTGCGCGAGCTGGAGAACGCTCTGAGGGCCAGGGCGGCTGCCTGCGGCCTGCGAGCAGAAGACGTCTGGGTCCTGGCGTACCTGGACGACGTCGTTGTGCTCGTCCCCCCGCTCCTAGCAGGCGAGGTGGAGACGACTGCGGAGGCCGCGCTGGGGCGCCTGGGGCTGGAGCTGCAACGACGGAAAACGCAGGCCTGGTCTGCGCGCTCGCCTTGCCCGCCAGGACTGGAAGAGCGCTGGCGCGCCGACGGCGTGACGCTCCTGGGCGTCCCGCTGGGGGGGCCGCTGCCGCCGGGCAACCTCCCCGACGAGAGCGACGGGCGACGGCTGGACTTGGGCAGCGCCGACTACGCCGCGGCGCGCTGCTTGGAGACCGCCGACAGAGCCGCTGCGCTGCTGCAGAAGCTGGCCCAGCTGCCGACGCTGGCTTCGCCGCACCTCCCGGCGACCCAAGCGGCCTGGCTCCTCCTCCGGCACTGCGGCACGGGCAAGCTGACGCACCTGCTGCGCGCCAACCCGCCAGCGCACAGCCGGGCCGCCGCGGCCGCCTACGACGACGCGCTGCTGGAGGCTTACAAGGGACTGGCGCGGCTTGACCCGCTGACGCTTGAGCAGCGCGCACGCTGCCGCCTGCCACTCCGGCTGGACGGCCGGGGCTTCCGGAGCCAAGAGGAGCTCGCGCCTGCGGCTTGGGCGGCTTCCTGGGCGCAGAGCCTCGCTGGCGTCCGGGGGCGCACTGGGCTGGCGGAGCTGGGCGACTTGGGGGCCGCCGCGCTGCCTCTCGCGGAAGCCTGCCGGGGGGCGCAGGCAGCGCTGCCCCTGGGCCAGGAGGACGGAGCACTGCTGGACTGGCGGCAGCTCGCCCACGAACCTCGGGAAAAACTCCAGAGGAGACTCACGCACAGGCTGGATTCAAAAAACCACGCAGCCTTGCTGAGCTCCCTGGACGCCGAGGGACGGGCGTTGCTCCGCTCCTGCGGGGGGGCCCACGCGGGCGCCTGGCAGCTGGCGAACGGAGGGCCTGGCCAGCGGCTGGAGGACCCAGACTACTGCGCCACGGCCCGGGCGCTACTGGGCCAGGACTGCGCGCCTGCTGGGGCCAGCTGCTGCAACCGCCTGCGCACCGGAGAGCGAGCGGGGCAGGCTTGCGGCCAGCCGCTGTGCCGCAAGGCGCGGCGCGCCTTCCGCTGCGCCTGCGGGGGCGGCACCAAGGCGCGCAGCCGGGATGTCGAGGACGTGTGGGGCCGCATTCACCAGGAGTGCGGTTTCCGCACGGCCCGGCAAGTCCCCGTGCCCGCTTGGGACCGCTGGCGCTGGCGCTGCACGGCGCTTGGCTGCGCCGCGCGCGGCTTCGCGGACGCCCCGCCGAGCGGCCCCTGCAGCGCCTGCGGCGCGGCGCTCGCGACCGAGCGCGAGGAGGCGCTCCTGGACCTCGAGGCGCAGCGCGGCGACTGCCCGCGGATGCTGGCGGACGTGACCGTCCGTTACAGCGTCCCGGGGGGCGCGCGCGCCCTGGCGGCGGCCGCAGGCGCCGACGGCGCAGTGGCCGCAGAGGGGGAAGCGGACAAACGCCGCCGCTACCCAGAGCGGCGCGCCCCTTGGCCGCTGCTCCCGCTGGCCCACGAGACGGCCGGGAGGCTGGGCAGAGCGGCGCTGCGCCACCTGCGCTGGCTGGCGCGGGACCGCGCGCAGGGCCTCGGCGACGGCCCCGAGGCTGAAGCGGCCGCGAGCGCGCTGGCGCGCCGATGGGGCGCCGAGCTCAGCTGCGCACTGCACCGCGCCACGGCGCGTCAGCTGCGCAGCTCCCTCGGCCAGGAGCGGGAGCTCGCGGCCCGCGCCGCGCTGGCGGCCGAGCTGGCCGGCTAGCGAGCTGGGCGCTGGGCCAGGAGGCGAAGGAGGACTACCGGTTCGTCGCGGTGCCCTACCGGTTCGCCGCGCTCGTGGCGGAGGTCAGGGGTGTGGCCTGTAGGTAGAGCGAGAGACAGACTTGCTTGGTGGTCGCAGGGAGGAGGGATGAGGGAGGAGGAAGGAGGAGGAGAGGCGGAGGGTGGGAAGCCCTCGCCGTGCGGGGAGAGACTTTTCGAGCTGGCCCGAGCACACGACAGGCGCGTGCCGCCCCGAGGCTCGTGGAACCAACAACGGTTCGGTGGTGAGCAAGATGTGTCGTCGACGCATCCACAAGAGCGCCCTCGTGGGCGCGAAGCTATTCACGCTTCGCGCTTCGCGGTTCGCCTCCGATTCCTCCTCATCCTCTTCTCCCCTGCGGGCGGCGCGAGGGCGCGAAATTCATTCGCGCTTCGCGCTTCGCGCAGCGCGAAGCGCGAACCTCGGAGCCCTGTCGACGCCTCCAGCACGGCGTGCTAGGGCCGCGCCGTGTCGACGCGGCTGCGACCCTGGCGCGGGCATGCCATGCGTGGCCCAGAGTCGGCCGACATCGAGCGATCTGCGCCGTCCGAAACCAGCGATCGTTCAATGCGGGACGATCCGCGTGGCGTCAAAAACCAACGCCCGAATCGCCACGACGCGAGACTGCCGTACGGCACGTTTGTGCCGTCTCGACGCGGTCGCAAAGCCAGCGTGGGCGTTCATGGTCGCACGTCGTCTGGGAGGGCCCTGCTCGGGACCCAGGGTCGGGTCGGTCGGAAAGGGGCGACTTGGACGGGGGGGGTGCGAACTCCGCTGCATGCAGACGGTTTTGGCCCAGCCGCCGGGCGCTTTCCACGATACATTGGCGCATCCGGCGTCGGGGAAACCGGCTACGTGAGCGGATTCGTTCCCCCCTCTGTGCTATTCCGCCGTTTCGTCTGGCCTCACGGGACCCAAAGGAAGCAGCCCACGGCGCGAAATCTTTTGGAGAGATATGGTCGACAACCTCCGGAGCCCCTCGGCAGCAGAGGTCCTTCGAGGTCGTACGGTATTGCGCAGTGTCAGACCACGGCCGACAAGTGTAACGTAGTGGAGCTCACAACGCTCGCTGGCCCGTGGCTCAGCATGTAAGCAATGCGTGTCGTCGACGCATCCAGTACTACACGGTAGGTTGAAGCCGTGTCGGTTTGACGCCGCCTGTGGCCCAGAATTGGCCGATATCGAGCGATCTGTGCTATTCGGAGAGCCGCGACCGTTGAAGACCAATGCACAAGTCGTGCCTGCACGACGCTCGCCGTGCGATCCTGCTCATCTGTTGCAGCAGAGGAGGGCGAGGTGGTACTTTGCATGCCGCAGCCTCTGCCAGTTGCGCTCAGCACAGATGCCTCCGCTGTCGCTACAGCCCTGAGCTCTCTGCTGCCAGCAATGATCTGTGACAAGCTGGCCAGGTGACGCCGCAGGGGCAGCCTAGAGTCACCCCACACACGCCACCATGTAGGGCTGCTCACGGTCCGGCTCGATCCGATCACGTCCCAGAGCTTCGATTCAGACCTGTGTCCTGTCGGATCCGACACGAGCTGGTCCCCTCTGCTGCCTGCAGGGGCCGAACCCGATCCGCGACAGCAAGCGATCCGACCCCGATCCGATTCCGCGCCGATTCGGCCGCGATCCGATCCGTTTCCGATCCGATCGGCCTTTGCGATCTGGTCCGGCCCAGGCCCGCGACGTGCCTTCTGTGTGGAGGGAGCTGGCGCTGCGTGCAGGGGGCGGGAGCGGCGCCGTGCGGCCTTGAAGGGAGGGGAGGGTCAGGACGGCGGCACGAACTGGTACTTCCTGGAGCGCTCCAGCAGCACCGCCCCCTGCCGTGCCCTCTTGGCTTTGGGGGAGGAAGAAATGCAGAAACACAAGTGTTCGCCAGCGTGGACTCCCCGAGCAATGATTTCTTGCAATCTATTCGGTGTAGTTTAGGTTGACAAATGCCATGCCCTTGCAAACATCCCACCCACCCGCAACTTGGTTTGCAAAACCCATGCGGCGGCGATTGCGATGAGTGCTTGGGGTTGGCTGGTGCATATCTGCGGCCGCGTTAGCCCGCGCATGCTCGCCCGCGCAGCGGCCAGCTAGTTTGGCGCGACCGACGCGGCCGCGGTGGCGTTGACCGCTGGGCACTTCCCAGCGGGCACTTCAGTGCGAATCGGCGACTTTGGCGGGCGCTGTAGTCGACAACGGTAAACACGATGGTGATAGTAGCGATGCTGGTGACAATGGTAACAACGACGACGGCAAGGCCAGTGATGGCGCCGATGTTGATCATGTCCGCCGATAGCGATGACTATGTCCTCGCGTCGGTGATGAACGTTTAGAATGAGGTCGACATGCGCGCGCGGTCGACGCGCGCGAGTGGCTCGCGTGGTTCTTTGACACGGATCGTGCCCCCCCCGTCAGCACGTGCGCGAAGGCGTTCGAATGAGGTCGTCATGCGGCGTAAGAGGCCCGCTTGGCAGAAATTGATGCACATGTCGGGGAGTCGATGTTTCTCTCAAGATTCGCAAGACCGCGAACGCCGGATTATTTTGAATACTGTTGTTGCAAAACGATTTGTTTATTGTTATATATTTATACGCACTGTTTATTTGTTTATTTATTTATTTATGTATTTATTTATATATATATATATATATATATATATATATATATATCCCGGGGGACGAGGTCGGGGGACCCGGGACCGCGACCTCGAGCGCGCATGGGGGTACCGGGGCCTCCGGGGCGCCCCCAGGACGGCTCCCGAAGGCGCCGGAGGCCGCCAAACATATCAATAGGGCGCACGAGCCTCGAAATGTAGCTTGAAGACGCCGACGATGGCTCCAAGAGGGTTCCCGGGAGCCCCCGAGACAGCCCAAGAGGGCCCCAAGAGCCCTCCAAAGGGGGCCCCCAGAGGCAAACATTGTCCCGTTCCCTTCGGAAAGCGTGCATTTTTCAGGGATTCGCTTCTTGCCGTTTCAGGGGAACGGAAACAGCCCGAGAGGCCGCCAGGATCGCCCCAAGACAGCCCAAGGGGGTTCCAAGACAGCCCAAAAGGGCCCCTGGCTAGCCCAAGAGGTCCCCAAAACGGCCCCAGAGGGACCCAGGACGGCCCCAAGCAGGGGCCCAGAGAGGATGCCCTACGAACATTTCAAGCCCTCCGCCGCCAGAGGTCCCAAGGAAACCCCAAGAGGCACCCAAAACGCCCCCAAGAAACTTTCAAAAAACCTTCAAGAAGCTCCCTAGAGGCCCTCCACGGCCCCCTGACCAGACGCCCTCAGGTATTCTTCCTGCTCCCGAAGCTTCTGGACCACTCTTCGCTTCCTGAGGCCCGAAACGGGGCCCAGGACCGTCAAACATTTACGACGAAATACCACCGGGCCCATGGAAGGTTTTCGGACTTTGGGCTCACTCCAGGGATCCCGCGTTGAACAAGTCACGTTAGCGAGTCTCTTGGACAAAGGCCCCCGAAGGCGCTCCGAAGAGATCTCAAGAATCACCCCTCTGAGAACTCTGACCCACAACCCTGGCATAGTGGTGGGATGGGCCGAAGGCCATTATACATATTTGTAATCTGCATGTACATTCATCTATGTGTATATATGCATACGTGCATACATACGTACATACATACATACGTACATACATACCGATCTACCGACCTACCTATCTACCTGCCTGCCTGCTTGCCTGCCTACCTGCCGGTATACATACATACTGACATGCATACATACATACATGCATACGTATGCATACAAATATTCATACATGCGTACATCCATACATCCATCCATCCATGCATTCATACACGCATATATACATATATATACATCTATACATCCATCCATACATCCATACATCCATACATCCATGCATACATGCATACACACATACATACAGACACACACACACGCACACACATACATGCATGCATGCATACATACATATAAACATACATGCATACATACATGTATACACATATGCATGCACATATACATGCAGATATGCATACACGTATGCAACCTTGCAGACTTCCATAGGTACACTCACACATACATACATATCGGAGGTTGGGGGGTGAGTCCAACGTGAAACGGAGACCCCCCCCACCGGGAAATCGATTTTGGTTTCGGGTTCGTGTCGTGCGTGCCGTGCGTGCGTGCGGGCGAGGCGAAGCTGCGTGGGCGGGCGCGAGGAAATCCTCCTGTGGCTGGGCCGCGGCCGGACCAAATGTTTCTCCCCTGGCGGCCGGTGGCCCGCGGTGTCCCGCCGGTGTCCCGCTGGTGTCCCGAAATCCCCCTGTGGCTGGGCCGCGCCAGACCAAATGTTTCTCCTCCGGCGGCCGGTGGCCCGCGGTGTCCCGCCGGTGTCCCGTGGTGCCCCGTTGATTGAGATCGATAGTGAGATCGACACCTAGATCGATGAGGTGTCCCGCGGTGTCCCGTGGTGTCCCGTGGTGTCCCGTTGAGTGAGATCGATAGTGAGATCGATAGTGAGATCGATAGTGAGATCGACAGGTGTCCCGCGGTGTCCCGTGGTGTCCCGTGGTGTCCCGTTGAGTGTGATCGATAGTGAGATCGATAGTCAGACCGATAGTGAGATCGACAGGTGTCCCGCGGTGTCTCGTGGTGTCCCGTGGTGGCCCGTGGTGTCCCGTGGTGTCCCGTTGAGTGAGATCGATAGTGAGATCGACAGTGAGATCGACAAGTGTCCCGTGGTGTCCCATGGTGTCCCGTGGTGTCCCGTGGGTCCTGGGCCCCCCAAAGTGCACTGATTTATCTTCTGACCGTTTTTGGCCCGGCGGGGGGCGCCAAAAAACGTCAAAGGGGGCAAGAGGGCGCCAAGATGGTCCAAGAGCGCTCCAAGAGAGCCCAAGACCGCACAAGAGCGTTTTAAAATTTGTCCAACATGGCTTGAAGACAGCCCAAGAGGGCTTCAAGACGGCCAAGATGCTCGCAAAAGGAATCCCACGAGGTACTCAAGAGGCGAACAATGCGTTTTTTTCTATGGTTTTTGAAGGTTTTTCGTGTTCTTGCTGTTTCGTGCTTCCGACTGTCCAAGGCAGCCCACGAGGCCCCAGAAATCAGTTCAACGCGGCCCAAGAGGCACCCAAAGAGGGCGCCACGACGGCGCAAGAGAGCCCCAAGACGGCCCAAGAGCGCCCCAAGGCGGCCCACGAGGCGCCCAAGATCGCCCAAGAGGGGCTCAAGAGGTGGAACACGAACCGACAATTCGAGCCTTCCGCCCCAAAAGGCTTCGAGGAGGCCCCAAGAGGCCCCCAACAGAGCCCGAGAGGCCCCCCAGAGGCCCCATAGATGCCCCACGAGGCTCCAAAGAGGCCCCAAAGAGGCCCCAAAAGAGGCCCCAAGGGAACTCCAAACGGCCCCCCAAATACCTCCAAAACATACCGGTGCATAGCAAAAGACCGCCTAGGGTCCTGGACGGCGTCAGAGGCCCTTCAGATCGCTCCAAGACGGCCGAAAACCCAAGAGGCCCCCCGGAAGCCCAATAGGCCCCCAAGGGCCCTCCAGGGAAGCCCCCTGCGGGCCCCCAAGACACCTCGGTAAATCGTATTTCCCAGAGCTTTCCGGGAACATGATTCCTTGGGCTTCCGCCCACCGCCCCAAGCACGTTTCCAATAGGCCTGCCGACAAGGCCAAAAGGGTCCCCTCAGTAAGCCCCCAGAGGCTCCCCTCTTAGGAGAGCCGAACAAATCATGCTCCCGGAAAGCTTCCCGGAACATGTTTCTCTATCTCGGAGTAGGCCCGGGGGGGGCGGGCCGCTGCCTGCCCAGATCATTGGATACAGCTTTTTTTTTCGGTCGCGATCGGTAGCGACCGATAGGCACTCCAAATCGGTCGCGGCCGATCGCGAATCGGTCGCGTCTGGTCGCCACCGATCGGTCGCGACCGATCGTCGCGACCGATTTTGAAACAAATTGGTTGCGAATGATACCGAAATTTGACGCAGAATCGGTAGCGACCGTTCTCGTCGGTCGCGACTGGAAAATTCCAGTATCCAATGATCAGGGTGTTCCCCCCATCGGTGCCCGCCGGGGGATGTTGGGGGGGTTCAGAGCTCCCGAGGTGGCCCGGGCCCGCCCCGAAACAGGCCACGACATGCTAAGGGGGTCCCGAGAGGGCCCAAGACGGTCCCAAGGGGCCCCGAAGACGCCCAAGATGCCATCAAGACAGCCGACGAGGACTCCAACGCGCTCCAGGACGGACTCGAGAGGCTCCTCAAGGCCCTGGGAGGCAAGATTCACTAATTTTCCGAGTGTTTTGGATTTTGGCGTTCTCGCTTTTCCCGCTTTCCAGCACTCCCTCACGGCCTCGGAGGCCCTTCAGATCGCTCCAAGACGGCCCACGAGGCCCCGAAGAGGGCCCCAAGAAGGCCCAGGAGGCTCCCCATACAACCCAAGTGTGCCCCAAGAGAAGGCCCAGAGGGGTCCCGAGGCGGCCCGGGCCCGCCCCGAAGCAGGCCACGACATGCTAATGGAGGTCCCGAGAGGGCCCAAGACGGTCCCAAGAGGCCCCGAAGGCGCCCCAGATGCCCTCAACACGGCCGACCAGGACTCTAACATGCTCCAGGAAGGACTCGAGAGGCTCCCCAAGAGGGCCCTGGAAGGCACGATTCGCTCATTTTCCGATGGTGTTTGAAGGATTTAGGCGTTCTCGCTTTCCCCGCTTCTCAGCGCTCCCTCACGGCCTCGGAGGCCCTTCAGATCGCTCCAAGACGGCCCACGAGGCCACGAAGAGGGCCCCAAGACGGCCCAGGAGGCTCCCCAGACAATCCAAGTGTGCCCCAAGAGC